CTCAGCACTTCATGGTGGCTCACAACCAGCTGTAACTCCAGCTCCCAGGGGATCAGTGTCTCTCCACTTGGTGCACCTACATACATGCAGACAAAGCACTCACTTAAATAAACTAAAAATAAATAAAGCGCTGGGAAATAGATGGGCAATAGCTAATGCACACAAGATTTCTTTAGGGGTGACCAAGTAACAGAGGTGATGACTGTTAATGAAATACCTTTGAATACACTCAAAGTCATTTCACTGCATGCTCTAAGTGGGCAGATTGTATGCCATGGAAACTACTCCTCAGTAAAGCCCTGGAGAAAAATCACACTGCTGGACAAGGACAAATGAAACTAAACATGGATGACTCTGGTTTTGATCATTATAAAACAATAGGGGGCAGCCCTATAAGACAGGCATTATTACATCCTCACTGTATAGATGGCAGCAACTCAGACACAGAAAGATCTAGTGACTTGTTCAGAATTACACAGCAAAGAGTTCATAGTCAGCCGGGTGGTGGTGAGGTATGCCTTTAATACCAGCACTCAGGAGGCAGAGAGAGGCAGATCTCTGTGAGTTCAATGTCAGCCTGGTCTGCAGATTGAGTCCCAGGACAGGCTTCAAAGCTACAGAGAAACACTGTCTTGAAAATTAAAAAAAAAAAAGAGTCCATAGTCTTTACCACCCTCTTTGTTTTTCCTGGCTTGGAGCACTTATTGTGTGTGTGCACACACAAAAACACACACACAAATATATATGTGCAAATATATAATATGTTCTATATACATGTAACTATATAATATGATTGGGAAATATATATATTTACCCAAGATGAAAAACTCCCTTGGGAACAGGTGCAGGTCTCTTCTCTTTACCACTTATTTTTAACAAGCATGCATTGAGCTTCTTATAACTCAGGCTGTGTATGTAAGAGTCATATGAGACTTGGCTTACAGTAAGTTCTCAATAGATATGTGTAGTTTGGATAGATGGATGGGTGGGTGGGAAAGTATGTGAGTGTGGGAGGGGGTGAATGGCTAGGTAGATGAGTGAGCAAGTGGGCAGGTGGGGACATGGGTTGGTAGATGGGTGGTAGGGGCAGATAGATGACTGGGTCAGTGTAGATGGGCACATGGGTGGGTGTGCGGGTGTGTATGGGTAGGTGGGTTGATGCATTAGTAGGTATGTGTGTCAATGGGTAGATAGGTGGGTGTATGGGTGGGTGTGTAAGTGTGTTGGATGGGTAGACAGATGTGTGGGTGATAGATGGGAGAGTGGGTGCTTGAATGTGTGAGTGGTATGTGGGTAGATGGGTATGTAGATGTGTGGGTAAGTGGGTGAGTAGGTGTGTAGGTGGGTAGATAGGGTATATGGATCTGTGAGTGGGCAAATATGTAGATAGATGACTAGGTGTCTAAGATAGATGGGTGGGTAGATGGGTGGGTAGTAGGTCGATGTGTGGGTGAACATGTGGGTGTGTAGGTGAATGGGTGTGGGACTGTAGGTGTGTATATGGGCAGGTGTGTGGGTGGTGTGAGGACAGACAGGTGAATGTATGGGTAGACGGCTCAAGAGTTGGGTTCTAGAAAACTGTGAGTGGGCATGTCCAAAGCCATTGGTACAGCTTCATCCCACTTCCACCGGCTTTCATGCCCCTGTTTTCAAATGCACCACCTCATCTCCTAAGATGGTGCCAGCTGCATGGTTCTGGTCTCTGCAACCACCAGAGCCTTCAGACCAGTCCTTCAAGAAGCCCCACAAGTCATCTATTGCATCATATCAACAAACACCCCATGCTAAAGCCAGTCACTCAGAAAGATGCTCTTGAGCCAGATCCAGCACTGGGGAAAGGTGGAGCTCCCTCTGCCTCTGCCTTAGCAGGGCCTGTCAGTGACAGCCACTGGGTGAAACTACAGCTACGGCTGCTTGGGTAGGAGTCCTAGTTTCTCCCTTGGCACAGAGGACTGATGAACCATCCCTGAAAACACCGGTGCAAAGTCTCAGCAGGGTCAACTCGCCGGACACCATCGGGTCCAACTAGAGGAGGTTGGGTCTCAGCCTGAGCCTAGAGTCAGGCTGGGGTGAGCTGCAGGAGGACCAAGCAAGCTGGATGTAATGTGGGCACCTCCCTCCCCTCCCAAGCCCAGGCCAACCAGCCCCCAGGCAGGCTGGAGGCTTGTTTTCCTTGGCTGGGGGCCAGGGCCGCCCCGCCAGTGAGTAATGCGCGAGGACCGCTGGCTCCAGTTCAAGGGAAATGGGTTGGAGACAGGGCCTCCTTGGCCTTCACGGGGCTCAGTTGAGGGGGGCTTTCCAGAAGGTGGCTGCCAGCTGCCTCAGGGCCCTGCCTTCTGCTCTCCTTCCTCATCCCCTGGTCCTGGTCCTTTCTCACTCCCCATTTTTTTTAGCCGACTCCACAAAGGCCAAGGGAAGATTAACTGAGTTTTTGGAAGATGAGGGGGAAGGGATGAGCATGGCCCAGGACGCAAAGAGAAATACGATACAGGGACCTCAGCCCCCGCCTCACACCCACTGACACAGCCAGGCCTCCCGGGCCCCATCAACCACGCTTTCTGCACACGCATTTGTGGAGAGCAGAGATGTACTGTCAGAGAGGCAAAGCAGCTCAGAGGTGGAAAGAGGAGGCCCCAGGGTCCTGGTGCTACACCAGCAGGAAGCATGAGTACTAGAGAGGGTTTATGGGCTTTCTGCCCACACAGAGTTATCTTGGGGAGGATACTGTGCCTTGGGGACCAGAATTTACCCAAGCCCATAATGGGTCAATGGCAGGAGAATAAGCAAGAAATGAGGCTGCCCACCCTGATGCTCTCAACAGTGGCCTGCTTTTGGAAGGAGCAGAGTCCACATGGTGGAGGCTTTTGCCTAGGGTGGTTTTCGTCCTCCTGAAATAGTCCCAGAGGCAGAAGTAACTACTATTCTGCCCATGCAGAGTGGCCTGTGTAGGGGATGTCATGGTTATCAACAGCACAGTGAGGAGTAAACATTCCCCTGCTGCCCTCCTGTCCCAGGGGGAATGGCTTTTCAACCAGCCTTATCCAGTACCCCAGCCCATCCCCACCTCTATCCTCGGTCAGGCCTCCTGGTCGTAAAATGACATTATTCTGGCTGAGCTCAGCACAGGAGAAGTCTCAAGGGATCCTAGGAAGTCACAGAAACGAGTTAGAAAGTTTCTCCATTTCAAGGGTGACTGCCAAGTCACACATCAGAGCTGGCCTCTGAAGAAACACACTGGCCAGTCACAGAGCCCCAAGTGGCTCTTCTCTGCCCACTGACATCAGCAGCGGTCACTAAACACTGGACTCTGCTGTTATTCTGTGGTCCCTGCTGTCCCTTAGACCAGGGTGTGGCTGTTGCCCACAACTCAAAGGATTCTCCTGCGGGACAGTTTCCATTGCCAGATCCTGACTCTAAAATGGTGGGGGCATCTGATGGGCCAGGTGCTGGCCACTGGCAAGCTGGAAAAGCAGTAATCTGATCAATGCCCTTTCCAGAAAACCCCACTAAGGGGAGTCCCCCCAGGCCAAGCCCTGGTGACAGTGGACAGATTAACAAATAATGCATGTGCTATGGATTGCATCCTGGCCCATCCTGAAACCCTCACTGTTTCTATTTTTTTCTCAGTCTAGAGTGAACAAATATACAATGCGTGCGGAGCCGTGGTGGCGCACACCTTTAATCCCAGCGCTCGGGAGGCAGAGGCAGGCGGATCTCTGAGTTTGATGCCAGCCTGGTCTACAGAGCGAGTTCCAGGACAGCCAGGGCTATACAGAGAAACCTTGTCTCAAAAAAAAAAACAAAAACAAATATACAATATATGCCACCTGTCCTCCCATTAACTGTAGAATCCTACCCCAGGCGTGGATAAGACCGTGGTTCTTTTCCATTAAGTGGTAAAGAGAGGCAAAGGACCAAGGGGAGATGACCGAAGGCCCAGCTTGCTGGTGGCAGCACCCTGCCTCTGCTACCTGATTCCTCTCTGTTTCATTCCATGGCAGATGAGGTGTTGATGAGCACAGTCATTTGTATCTGTCAGCCAATGGAAGAAGAGAGAGACCTCGTGAGACAGTGGGACAGTGCTCTGTAGGAGGAGGGCGAGGTGTGAAAGCAGGCAGTGGACACCGCAGTGGAGTTCAGCGCAGTGGTAGACAGGACAGTAAGAAAAGCCACCCTCCAAGGCTGGAGGGGAAGAGTACTGCTTGCTCTTCCAAAGGACCCAGGGTCGATTCCCAGCACCCATTTGGTGGCTCACAACCATCTGTAACTCCAGTTCGAGGATCTGATACCCTACTCTGGCCTCCATGGACACAGCCAGCGCGTATGTGGCACACTCATATACATGAAGGCAAACATTAAAAAAAAAAGGGCAATAATGTAAATCACACGCCAGTATCATTTTATAACAAATATTCACTCAATAAGGTTCCTGTGAGCACCCAGCATGTGGAGGAAACGCAAGAATGCCTGCAGAAAGCAATGAGTTGGTTTCTCAGTGGCAGCTGGGACTGGAGGCGAGCCTCTGTCCATTTAGAGGCGTTCTTAGAAATCTCTCTCCTTGTCCCTTCCTGAGCCTGTCTCTGTGCTCTGAGAACCGAATCCAGAGCCTTGCATGCACTCTGTCACTGCATCCCCAGCCTCTTACCTCATTTTTAAGTAGTGAATGAAAACAAAAAAAATGAATAATAAATGGCTCACCTATTTTGAGCATCCCTCAAATAATAAATGAAACAGCCCCATAAATTTGTTTGCGCATGTAGTCATTCACCTACTCTGTCACTCTGGAGGTCACCACATCCTCTTTGTACCCCAGGATCCCACAGTCCTCAAATGAGCACATGGCAATCAAAATTCAAAGCACACAAAGAGCGCATGTGTGGAGGGAGATGGTACTGTAGTGGTGGAGGCTGCCTGGGTGTTTGTGGTCCTCCACCACGTGCTTGCCGACCAGCTGGAACACCTGGTGTTTAAAGGGGCCAGGGAGTGAGGTAAGCACTCACCCATTAGTGGCTAATAGCAGTAGTAGCTGCCATCACTGCCAGTGCGTCTGTCCTGTAGTCCCTGGAACTTGGAAGCTGTGCATCCACAGGGATGTCTGCCAGTGCCCTCCGAAGTCATGTGGACAGTCACCAGCGCTGCTCCTCTTCCTCTTCCTCTTCTTCTCCCCTCCCCCACCCAGCTGCACAGAGGCTGGCCCCAGGGCCCAGGGAGTCTCTAGCCAGAGTGTCAATGTTTTTTCTCTCTCTGCCCCACAATGAAGTTTCCCTCTTGGGCACAGCTAACAATGTGCAGGGAGAGCAGGGAGAGAAAGGAGAAAGTCTAGGGGAAATGAGACTGACTCTTTTGGAGGGGATTGAATGACTCTGCTGGGTTGTTTTTTTTTCCATTTCCGTGGGGTGTGTGTGTGTGTGTGTGTGTGTGGGTGTGTGGTGTCTGTAAGCACATGTACATGGGTGTATGTGGAACCCTGAAGTTGACGTCAGAAATCATCCTTAATCACTTTTTCACCATGTTCATTGAGTCAGGGTCTCTCGATCAAACTCAGAGCTTGCCCATATGGCTGGTCTTGAGCTGCCAGTTTGCCCAGGCTCTGCCTTCTGAGGACTAGAACTACAGGGGGCCACCATGTCCACCCCATATGTATGTGGTTCTGGGGATCCTAACCCGGTCCTTATGCTCGACACTGCAAAGGTCTCCATTACTAAACCATCTCCCTGGCCCGAACTGCCCCATTGATTAAAGAAAAGACGAAGTGCAGAGTGGTGGTGTACCACACCTTTAATCCCAGGCTGAAACAGGTGTGAATCTCTGTGAATTCGAGGCCAGCCTGGTCTACTGAGCGAGTTCCAAGACAGGCTCCAAAGCTACACAGAGAAACCCCGTCTCGAAAAACCAAAAAGGAAAACAGGAGAAAAGACAAACTGAATTATAACATGTGTGCAGAAAAGCACACAAATCATTTTTGCAAACTACACCAGATGTGACCAACCCCAGACAAAGAAACAGAACCCCAGCAGTCAAAACTGCTCTCTTGTCCCCTTCCCGACGTCTAACACCAAAAATTAGTTTCACCTGGTTTTGAACTGTATGTAAATGAGACCATCCCCATGTGAGGTTCTTGTTTTGTTCTTCTTTACTGGACACAACTCAAGAAGCCGGGGGCACTGTGCACACTAGGCAAGTCTTCTCTCATTGGCGCATGGTTTCTCTAACACAGCACTGAGACCGTCGGAAGCGATTATTATCATCGTGGTTCCCTCATCCCATTGCTCCTGGTGAGCACTGTAAAACAACTGCTGTCCTTTTGATGGGCATTCAAGTCACTCCAGTGTAGGGCCATTTGAAATAGTATTGCTATGAAGATACCTCCACGTGTCTTTTTAAAAATACGGGAATGCATTTCAGATGCCAGTATTATTAGCTTTGGCAAAGCCTGCCAAATGTTTTCCAAAAGTGGTTAAGCCAGTGTCTATGGCCACCACCATCACAAGAGAGTGCCCAGCCCACACTGTCACTCCAACTCAATACAAAGTGGCATTATCTTTTAAATGAATACTGGCATCTTTCAAGTTCAGCTCCAAGTACTAGACAAGTATGAAAATGAATGACCTACAAAAATGTCCAGGATATGTTATTAGGGGACATAAGCAGGTTGCAGGCCAATACAACTCCACTTGTAAAAATCATGTCTATGCAGATTCATTAGCTCAGGCCAAATTCAGAAAGACAGTATTTGAGGTCTCTAGTCCTGTCACCTCTAGAGAAATGGATTAAATGATGAGACTATGGATAATTTTGACTTTTCATTTCATAACTTTTGGGTATTATTATGACTGTTTAAGACAGAGTCTTGTAACCCAGGCTGCCTCCCGAGTGCAGGGTTTACAGCCACTCAGTACCACGCCTGACTTGTTTTTCACTATTTTCAATCTAAAAAAATGCATAAGTGCACTAAAACCTCCACTTCCCTCACATGCCCACTCCATTACCCAAGGCCAGCAGCCTGCCCCAGCTCTTATTTCCCAGCATTCATCCTCGCTCTGGAATTACCCTGGGCAGGCCCTCTGGGACAAGTCTCCTGGGCACTGTAATTTCCCTGGCTACAGTGTGTCATTAGACTTGGTGCTGCTGACATGACGCCTCTCTGAAGCAAAGATTATAGCCCCTGCTAGGACAGGATGGGACAGTCTGGTCATACAGCAGCTCTCCTGTAGCCACTGGCATCTCCAGCCTCTGGCTGGAGCTCAAGACCTACAGTAAGGCTTGGAATGCAACAGGCTACCCCTCTCTCCCTGTGGGTCTCTCATGAGTCTCCACATCCTCATCTATAAAATGGGCTAGTGACAGCAGTCCCTTAAGGATCACACAACATAACTTGCAGAATCTCTCTTACACACACGCCTCTGTAAATACAAATTGTTGGGTTTTTGTTTTGTTTTTGGTTTTGGTTTTTTTTTTTTTTTTTTTTTTTTTTTTTGGTTTTTCGAGACAGGGTTTCTCTGTGGCTTTGGAGGCTGTCCTGGAACTAGCTCTTGTAGACCAGGCTGGCCTCGAACTCACAGAGATCCACCTGCCTCTGCCTCCCAAGTGCTGGGATTAAAGGCGAGTGCCACCAACGCCCGGCCAAATTGTTGTTTTTATTACTACTGTATGTAGTGTGTGTGTGTGTCCATGATGTGTATACATGTGCAGGACAGAGGAGGACAACTTTCTGGAGACAATTCTCTCGTTCTACCTTTATGTGGGCTCTAGGATCAAATTTAGAGCATCAGGTTTGCATGGTGACCTAGTTAGAGCTACTGTTGCTGTGATGAAACACCATGACCAAGGCAACTTGGGGAGGAAAGGGTTAATTTGGTTTAAACTTCTGCATCACTGTTCATCACTGAAGGAAGTCAGGACAGGAACTCAAACAGGGCAGGAACCTGGAGGCAGGAGTTGGTGCAGAGGTCATGGAGGGGTGCTGCTTACTGGACTGCTCCCCATGAATTGCTCAGCCTGCTTTCTTATAGAACTCAGGACCACCAACCCAGGGATGGTACCACTCACAACTGTCTGGGTCCTCCCCATCGATCACTAGTTAAGAAAATGCCCAACAACCCGATCTTATGGAGGCATTTTCTTAACTGAGGTTCCCTCCTCTGATGTGACTCTAACTTGTGTCAAGTTGACATAAAAGTATCCAGCACAATTGACACCTTGTCAGCTTGACACACAACCATCATTGTAAAGCTACACCCTTTCCTTTCTTGTTCATCCCCAAGATCACACATTCGGATAAACATCACAATATAAAACATTTCACAGACTTTAAAAGTCCCAGTCTTACAAATTCAAACACCGCACATGGAAAACACTCTTACCACTGAACCATCTTGTCAGCCCCTCGACTGTTCCTATTGTGACTCTTGTGGTGTTTGTGGTTATTATTATCACCCCAAAATGGAGAGCTTTTCATTCACCTTTTGGGAAGAAAATAACAAGAATAACTTCTTTTGTTTTCATTAAGTATCTAAAAGTAAGTAGATACCCGCTGTTCTTGATAAATAAATGTGAATGCATCCCCCACCCCCACCTCCACCCCTGGAAAATTAGTCACTGAACGTGAATTCATCTGAGCAGAATGTGCAGTGTCTACTATGTTGCTGGGGATCATTTAGATAGTGGGGAACAAAGTCCCTACTATCATGGAGTTTACACTAGTCTAACAGCAGCAGCCAAACCAACAAACAATAGACAAATGTACAGACAGTACAGACACATCTGATGTCAGTACTGGGAAGAAAAATCTAGCAGGATAAGACAGGAAGAGGGGCTGGGACACCTGGTGACAATTTTAATCGCTGTGCTCAACAGGGCCAGAGGGCTGTTCGTACTTGCCAGTGAAAAGAAACCGCCAAGTCTCAGTCCACCATTTACTGTAACATTCAGAAACAAGGAAGCACCCTCCATGTGTCTGGTATCCCTTCCTCCAAAGCTTCCAAAACAGCATCAGTCTCGGGTCCATCTTCAGCTTCTGGTGTTCATGAGAGGATGCTGGAGCTGGGGTGTGTGCCTGGCTTTTGAACACCCAGAGAGGCTGGTGGGGACTCACAAGAAAGAGGCTCCTGGTTGTGTCTTTGTGGGTCTGGTAGCCACTACCTCAATCCCAAAGCAGGCTCTGCCTGTCCCCAAAGAGGCGGTGTGCACTCCCCATCTCTCCTCACCCCTCCCCATCACTAAATCACCCCTGAATTAATCAAAGAGCTTGCACTGGTCCGAACTCACCAGAAACCTCCTCCAGCGGCCACTTTGTGTTCAGTAGATTAATTGCAGCTGGGGGAGGGGAAAGAATCCATTTTTAGAAAATCATTACTTTCAGAAAGAGAGGGGGGCACTTCTGGCTGAGGGAAAAGTGCTGAGCTGGCAGCTTGGGCCTGCTGCTCCAGCGCCAGGAAACCGGGTCTGTGCTGTGCAGGCTGCTCCCCGTGCAGGCTGCATCCACACTGCCTGAAGCCAGGCCACCCTGACTTTCAGGGCATGGCTTCTGTTGGCCTTGCCTGGCTTATGTTCAACTTTGATGGCATCCTAAACAGAAGGGGGGTCTCCCCAGTATTGTCCATCCCCCATGTCCTTTACTGTCTTTTCCCAGCCCCCTTATGCATACCACCCTGAGGACATTCGTCACTCCTGTCTGCAGAGAGAATGATGATGGTTGGGGATTCTTAATCTCCACTCCTTCAATTGGTCATTCTAGATTTAACTGAATGAAACTGCTGTATCTGTAAATCAAAATTAGCAATCCCACATGGCTCAGTCAGCTCTTTGCACGTATTTTCCCAATAATCATGGTGGCCCCACAAGGCAGGTAGAATGCCCATTTTGTTTCAGAAATGGCCAAAGTGTTGGGTGACCCACCCAAGTGTGCGCTCAAGGCCAACTGTGCTTGATTCCTAAGCCTGCAGCTGTGAGCCATAGTCTATTTCTTACCATATCTTATACCCTACATGCCTTCAATACCTGGAATGGCAGTGGACTTGTGCATTCTTTGAACAGTTGAGAACACACAGACCAGCAAAGAGGTCCCTCTGTCACTTCTGTGCTGTGTCACCTGGGTGCACATCAGCCTCAGGTACAAGCTGTGTAGGGA